TCCTCATCCTCCTCCTCCTCCTCCCCATCTTCCTCCTCCTCCTCCTCCTCCTCCTCCTCCTCCTCGTCACCACGATCAGGGATAAGCAGTCATATGCATTTTATTGACAGCGTCATTGACACTGAACCATCACATAACCATCGGAGTTCAAACCAAGGCAGGCGGTGAATAGAGGCAGCTATTGCCTAATGCACACGACGTTCAAAACAGGGCGTCCTGTTTGGTAGCGACAACGGCTGACCTGTCTAAGCTTATTTTCCTACAACAATTTCTCGAGTCTTCGGTTCTCATTTTGAGGATTGATAAATCCGTCGGATATCGCTCCTGATTCACACCCAAAGCAACAACTGAAGCGGTCCCCAACTGTTCTACTCTTTGTCATATTTCGGTTGAATCAGTATGAGTGGTTTTAATATCTGTTGGCCCAATAGGTGGTATTACTAGGCTTTTTGCTTATTAGGCATACGGAACTCCTAGATTCTTTGTATGCGTACGCATCTCTAGGGTGTGTTGTATCAAGAATGTCATTTTCCCTTGACCTTGAAACACCTTATCGGCTGCTCGCGGTCCTATGTTCTTGGAGATTATCGGAATAGCTTAAATCACCTTAGATTCCCCTAGGTATGTGTGCTCTACTATCTCCGGGACGTGAAGGGGGAACCCAAAGAAGAAATGTAGTGTTGACAGGTAGGCCCTCACACCAAATTTTTAACCCCGGCAGACAGCCATTCTGATCGGACCTCATATGAACTGCGGCTCTGATTTTTGTCTCTGCGGGGCTGTGTTAAGAACAGCGAATACATCCCAGCAGCATCTTCGACTAAGGAAGAAGAAGTAGCCGTAATTTCTCTGACACAGCGATGTTGGAAACCTGGTCCGGCTATGCGAGGAAGATCGACTCGGCTGTGCAAGCACGAACACGCGGCTTGATGCGGGGTCAGTCGCTGTCGGTAGCTTTAACTCAGTCCTCCCACTGAACACATTGGAATCAGTAAGGACGTGAGCTCGCTGCTACCCAAGTCACCCTCAATGACAGTTCGACCGTCACTGGCGACGACTTCCACCGCGCGCCCCCCGGGAGTTGGTGCATCTTCAGTGACTTGGACGGGAGTTAGTTTATAGTGAGATAGACTTGCGCAGCAGCTACCGCACTCTCTCCTCCATCATCCACCGTTCTCTGATAGCAAGAAAGTATAAAGGCGGCCGGAGGGGTGCATGTGCCACGCACATCCTAGTGTCCAACAACTGCAAGGGCGGTGCGAGCCGCACATCAGTCGGAATGCCATGTAGGCCATATTGAACAGACACATATTCGGCCGGCCTCTCAGCCCTCAAGTCACTTCAACATATATCCACCAAGAGGACCGAATTAGCCCGTCAGCTGGCAGCCTTCCAAGCCATGACTCTGGATTCGTCTTAGCACTGTTTAGGTGGTTGATGGAGGAGATAGTGCGACAGATGCTACTCGAATTTGCCTCGCAGTAGACTAGTTCCGGCACAAGTCGCTGATGCTACGTCAACTTCATGGGGCACGCGGTCGACGGTCGAATTGCCGCCTCTGGTACAGTCTTTCGCATACACAAATTTCACCTAGATTCAGACAACATGGAATCGGACTCACTGGCGAGAAAAAACACTCTGGACTGGCCCATCGGGTATTTTTCCGTACCAGCACCTCATCAAAAGGACTTTTTCAGCACTACCTTGGAGCTGTAAAGGTGTGGCTTCTCAGGTATCCCAGTCTACCAGAAAATGTGTCCCTTCACAACTCTGATTGAAGACTTTTGATGACTTCAATCTCTGCCTCTCGTACAAACTTCTTTGGAACATGCGCCATTCGTAAGGGCTTTGTGAGTGACACTGAGGAGGTTCTGCTACTGCCTCAGCCACTGCTCCATCTGTTGGACATCCTTCTTCAGATTTGACGAAGCTTTCCGTAGTATATGGTGGAAATGACTGACTCATCAGTCGTCCCGGTCTTACCCTTGGAGCCCTTTTACTCGAGGAATGGTCTCTCCACCAGAGTATTATGGGAGGGGGACCGTGGGTGGGGGAGGGGGGCGGGGAGTTGAAGACGGAGCACAATAACTAATAAGAAGCTGGCGACGCAAAGCGTCTGCTTTTTGAACTATGATAAGTGTTTGTAAACAGTCTGGGTGGCGAGGGTGACATTCAGCTTTGAAGAATATCCTCTGGTGGGGGCGGGGGGGTGTAGGTTTCCGCTTCTCCCTACTGCGTCTTGTCAAATTTCTGCTCCCCATTTCAGTGGCAGCTTATCTCAGGTCTGGGGATTGCTGGTGAATCTGAAACCTGCAACTGGCCAGTAGGTCTAGGGTGGGGGTTGCTGGCCGTGACCCAACTTGATCCGGGGTCAAGCCATTTACGGCAGAAAACTTCGCCCGCCTCCTCTATCCCTTCTATCGTAATTTAAGAAGATAAGTAAAGTTGCCAACTTGGCAACCAATGAAGCTTGCCAATGCGTTTGGATACTCTGGACAACGCAATTTTACCTAACCCGTTTCAGCAATGTAATTTCGACCGATATTGACTATTTAGTGTAGGTGACTTGCGGTAGCCCGTTCAACGTTCCCCTCACTTGATCAGTACCGATGACAATTTTTCATATATTTGTCGCAATATAATGTCGGAAAGCCGGACCAGATGCCCTATTTTCGTCAGCGATGATAGCAACAGCAGAACGAGCGACACCTATAGGGGGTGTTGGCCAATCATCGATTGATGCCACGGTCGACGGTGATAGATCGATGAAGCGACTGACTGCGCTCTCATCAGAGGCCTCTGTGTACAGAGCCCTGCGCAATCGCCTCCAGTCCTGCGGAATCGTACGGTGATTGGCTCTCACGCCCTGTTGTCCTGTTGTTGTTACTAACTCTGACGACGGGCTGCCGCATGAGTTCGATAGCTCAGAACATTAAACAAACTGTTCCTCTTACACATATACCTGGAACTCGAACTTTAGTCTCCACTCGTGAGAAACCTTCATGGCAATACAGTACATTCCTCACTAAAATAAAGTTCGCGTGCTTGAAAACATCACGACGTGCTAAAAGTCACTGAGTGGGAAAAAGCCAGCTAACAAAAGAATGCTCTTCCTATATGGAAGGTGGGTCACCTCGTGATGGACTTTTTTTCAGTGTGACATTTGTGTTATCTTTCGCATGTGAAATCCAAGTCGATGTGAGAGTGTGCGCCCACTCGCATCCCCATCAGCATGACTCGGACACACGAGAGGAGGTAGGACTAGGTAGGTCAGTCCAACTTGCAGATGCAATGTGCATCTCAAGGCTCTGAAAAGTGAGCCGATTTCACGCACTAAGGCCCTCATGTGCGCAGGAAGGCGCGTGCCAATACTCTAGCCATCTGGGAAAATAGCCGATGTTGGGGGTCAACCTGCGTGCGACAAATAAAGATGCCTTGTCAGGCACTACGCCCATACGCGTATCCAGTTTTGTTAATTCGATCCTGTCTTTCGAGCACGGCGGGTGCGGGGCGGGAGAGGACGAGGAAGAGGGGGAGAAAGAGAGAGAGAAAAAAAGGAATGAGGCACTTGGACTTCGTCCTGAGAGAGAGAGAGAGAGAGGCAGAGAGAGAGAGGAAGAGGAAGTGGGAGAGAAAGAGAGAGAAAGAAAAAGGATGAGGTTAATGTTATACTATTTATCTTACTGCAAGCCGATTTACGTGTAGGGCAACGTTGCACCTTCCCTGGCGTTAACGGTGGTTCTCGTTGTGACTAATGGACAAGCTATCGTATGACGACACGCATCCTTCAGAATCTCTATCAGTTCGAATCATTCGTATCGCCGATCGTCTGCCCCGCAGACAACAGCAATTTGTCAGACAATCACGACAGTTATTATGGTAGGTGAAGGCCAGTATATTCTACCACTCTCCCGGATGGACAGGCAGGATAATGCAAACAAAATGAGGCTATGGTAGGTGGAATGTTTTGTATCAAACCGACTGTGGACATAAGAGGTGCAGACATGATCAGTGGGCTTACAGTTCGAGGCTGAAGGTTACTAGTACTGCGCCCATTATCATTGTTACTACTACTACTACTACTACTACTACTACTACTACTACTACTACTACTACTACTACTACTACTACTACTACTACTACTACTACTACTACTACTACTTCTACTACTACTACTACTACTACTACTACTACTACTACTACTACTACTACTACTACTACTGCCACTACTACTAATACTACTACTACTGCCACTCCTACCACTACTACTGGTGCTGATGCTACTACTACTACTACCACCAATACCACCGCCCTCATTTTGATCAATGCATATTCTTCTTTCTGTCACATGCTGCACTCTACTTTGGTGACATTTTTAGAGACGATGGTCGTATGAACCCATCTCGAAGTAAACGCCTCCCGAGACAGTCGTCTGGTTGTGCTTTTTGGTTATTTTCTTCAGCCCCTCCTTATTCTTCCTTTTTTCCCTCATTCGTCCCTCCTCCTCCTCCTCCTCCGCCTCCTCCTCCTCCTCCTCCTCCTCCTCCTCCTCCTCCTCCGCCGCCGCCGCCGCTTGTGAGGCCAACATCCCTCTCGCAATCTCCACACGGAGGCTCTGGAAGACCCTCTTAATGCTTTGTGGTGTCCGCACGAACTCGTCTTTTGAATTGAGCACCAGTCTCGCCCTCTCACCCCGCCCGACCCACTCACCACGGCAATTGTAGGCAAGGTCGCAGTTAGGTATCATCATGTGTTCTGCGATGACGGCAGCGCGATGCTGCGTTCCAGGTGCGTCGTCGTGCGCAGATGGAC